CTGCTGGCCACGCTGTACACATCCTGCCTTTGGGAGCCAAGGGAAGATGGGGCTGGCTGAGGTGTCCAGGGCTCGGGGGGCGTGGTGGGGTGAGAGCGGGGAAAGAGACGGCGGCTGCCTTTGCCGCCACCCTTGGGCTGAGCCCCCTCTCGTGGCCTCCAGGGAAGAATGACATTTTTGGAGAGCCTCTGAACCTGTATGCCAGGCCTGGCAAGTCCAACGGAGATGTCCGGGCCCTCACCTATTGCGACCTGCACAAGATCCATCGGGACGACCTCCTGGAGGTGCTGGACATGTACCCCGAGTTCTCCGACCACTTCTGGTCCAGCCTGGAGATCACCTTCAACCTGCGAGATGTGAGTGGGCCGCCCATGCCGGCTGTACCCCGGGTGGCTGCCCCTTTGCTGTGTGGCCTCCTCTCTGGTCTGCTTCCCTGCCTGTCGGACGGTACAGTCAGAGCAGGATGTGCAAGTCCCAGCCTCATCCCTTGTCCTGGGGCGGAGGGCACATCTGTATGGGACGCTTCCCCAGAGCAGGGGCTCCCCTCCGCACCGTCTCTGAGTTAACGAGGAGCTTTGGGCCTGACTGGGGCAGGGCAGGTGGCACGGGAGGGCCCTGACGCCTCCCTTGGTTCCAGACCAACATGATCCCAGGCTCTCCCGGCAGCACGGAGCTGGAGGGTGGCTTCAACCGGCAACGCAAGCGCAAGTTGTCCTTTCGCAGGCGCACTGACAAGGGTGAGGCGGGAGGACAGGAGGGGACTGGAGGGGACGGGGGTCCAGGGGAGGCCGAGGAGGAGAGGGCTGAGTCTAGAGGAGGCCAGTGGAGGGCGGGGCGGGGTCCAGGGGACACATGGGGAGGGCTGACCGTGCAATGTCGGGCTGTGTCTGCTCTACCCAAGCCCCACAGACATTCCCACCCCTTCCTTCAGTGTCCCTCACTCCTCGCCCCAGCTGTCCAAACGCAGCCCATCCTTACAGGCCGGCTTGAACTGTCACTCCCTCTGGAAGCCGTCTTCCACCCTTCAGGGCAGGGGTGTGCCTGACCTGTTTTGGCCTTCACAGAGCTGGCTTCTGGGTGGGTGCTGACTTGAATGATGAGGGAAGAAGAGACAGGACAAAGGAGGGCAAGGGGACCAGGGACAGGGTCCGAGGGCCCAGGGTTCCCAGAGAGCCCCGCCCCGTAGTGCCGCTGGCTGCCCAACATGGATTGGAAAAGACCTGGACTGATTCCCCCAGAGCTCTCCGCCCGCTTAAGAGTGGGATTGAAGTCGCGACCGGGACACACCCAGGCGTCTTGCCACAGCCCTCGCCCAGGCCTGCCCCGGTCCCCTTCCCTTGGCTCTGTGCCTCCTGCCTTCTCTGAGGCCCATTCTCTGTTTTCCACAGACCCGGAACAGCCAGGGGAGGTGTCCGCCTTGGGGCCGGGCCGGGCGGGGACAGGGCCGAGCAGCCGGGGCCCGCCCGGCGGGCCATGGGGGGAGAGCCTGTCTAGTGGCCCCTCCAGCCCTGAGAGCAGTGACGATGAGCGCCCAGGACACGGCTCCAGCCCCCTCCGCCTGGTGCCCTTCTCCAGCCCCAGGCCCCCCGGAGAGCCGCCGGGTGGGGAGCCCCTGACCGAGGACTGTGAGAAGAGCAGTGACACCTGTAATCCACTGTCAGGTAGGGCCGGGGCCACCGGGCGGGCAGGGCGTGGCATCTGTCCTGGTCTCCCTCAACCCAGCTCTCTGGCTCCAGGTGCCTTCTCAGGAGTGTCCAACATCTTCAGCTTCTGGGGGGACAGTCGGAGCCACCAGTACCAGGAGCTGCCTCGCTGCCCCGCCCCCACCCCAAGCCTCCTCAACATCCCTCTTTCCAGCCCCGGCCGGAGGTCCCGGGGTGATGTGGAGAGCAGGCTGGATGCCCTCCAGAGGCAGCTGAACAGGTGAGGGCGGCCCCGGGGTCCAGCCCAGCCCCCAGCTGTGTGTGTGGGGCGGGTCTGTAGGTCATGGGGTATGGGAATATTACAGTGTGATCTGTGGGTCCTGGCAGTGTGGTAAGGGGAAGGGAGTGTGTGTTCTGTCGAGGCTTGTCCGTGTATACAGGAGCGTGACACTCTCCTTCCATTTAGAGCTACGCTAGCAGCTGCCACACCTGGGATGAAGAGTGGGTCTGGGGTTGACCAGCTGGCCTGTCTGTAGGGTGGTCCCCAAAGTCAGTTTCTGGTGTCTCCACTTCCCCAAGACCCAGAGTATCCTTCTCCTTCTTGCCCCAGGCTGGAGACCCGGCTCAGTGCAGACATGGCCACCATTCTGCAGCTGCTACAGAGGCAGATGACACTGGTCCCACCCGCCTACAGTGCTGTGACCACCCCGGGGCCTGGCCCCACCTCTGCCTGCCCTCTGCTGCCCGTCAGCCCCATCCCCACCCTCACCCTGGACTCGCTTTCTCAGGCAAGTTGCAAAGCTCCCTTCCTGCCCGTGGCAACCCAGCCCTGCCTTTCCTGAGTTAATTCTACCCCAAACTTGCTTTGCTGCCCTTTCTGCTCGGCCCTGGGCCCCAGCCTCCTCCCAGACTGTACCCCTGGGCAAAGCACAAGGCGGGATAGCCCCCAAACCGAAGCTGCCAGCTAGGTGAAGGCAACCATCAGGCTGAGTGGCATGGGCTCCCCTAGTGTCACCTGAACAGCCCGAGCTGCTCATAGTGCCTGTCATGGCCACAAGTGGCCTCTGAGGAGGGGACCAATGGAGCCCAAGGCCTGGTAGTGAGTGCTGTATGCCAGTGCACCCTTGGGACAGGGCTCCAGGTCCTTGGTGTGACTGGCACCTTCAGGGCTGACTATTGCCAGCCAGTGGGTCACCTTACCTTGCAGGGTTGTCCCGAGGGCTTTGGCTAGGCCCCAGGGTAGCACTTCTGGCCCATATCTTTCCCCTCCTGCGGCAGATGGGCCCCTGTTACCCTTTGTCCTTTCCAGAGTGGCCTCCTGACAGGACAACTGTGTTTAGGCCCCGAGAAGGGGGCTACTCTGGCTACTAGAGGCGGCCTGGGATCTGCCCCACCTTCCTCTGGCATCTGCTCCCCCTCCCATATGCTGCTGGCTCCTGTTTGCAGACACAGGGCCCACGTCAGCAAATGTGCCAGTCTCCCTTCACAGCCTCCCCCGCAGATCTCACAGCAGACTCGTCAGCACCCGCAAACCCCCTCCGCCGGCCCTGGCATACTCCCTGGCCTTCCCAGGCCTGGCCGCCAGCCTGCCTCTGCTTGGTCCCTGAGTTCTTTCTGGATTGGAGGAAGGAACCTTATTTCTCTTTCTGTCNGATGGAAGGGGGTGGCAAGACTGAACAGTGGGATGCATACCCCTAGGCGGGGATCGGTATTGCTGGTGGAAAGCAGTACTTCTGGGCATTACTGCATGGTGCCCTGGACTCAGGGAGCCAGGCAAGAGGTCCCTGGGCTGGATAGAGAGCTGTTGTGCTGAGGTTGAGGGGTGATCAGTGGCTCTCGCCACTTGGCTGAGGGATGGGCATTCTGATGGAAACTTTTTGGCCTCTTCCTTATTCTGCTTGGCCTCTTCTCTAGAGGCCCCAATGGAGATGTCACCTGCTCCCACCCTGAAGGCCATGGCCTGCCCTCCCCTGCTCCAGACTCTGGTTGGACAGCATCCCCTCACCTCCACCTTCCCTACCTGTCCAGGTCCTGTCCCTGGGTGCAGACGTGCTGCCGGAGTACAAGCTGCAGGCACCACGTATCCACCGTTGGACCATCCTGCACTACAGCCCCTTCAAGGCCGTGTGGGACTGGCTCATTCTCCTGCTGGTCATCTACACAGCCGTCTTCACACCCTACTCGGCTGCCTTCCTGCTGAAGGAGACGGAGGAGGGCCCCGCAGCCCCCGACTGCGGCTACGCCTGCCAGCCGCTGGCCGTGGTGGACCTCATCGTGGACATCATGTTCATTGTGGACATTCTCATCAACTTCCGCACCACCTATGTCAATGCCAACGAGGAGGTGGTCAGCCACCCTGGTCGCATCGCCGTCCACTACTTCAAGGGCTGGTTCCTCATCGACATGGTGGCCGCCATCCCCTTCGACCTGCTCATCTTTGGCTCTGGTTCGGAGGAGGTAGGTTGGTACGGAGGCCGAGGGGACGGAGGAGAGCAGAGGCCAGGAGGGCGTGGGGGAAAGGAGAGAAGGTGGGAGGTGATGGGGCTGAGGGGGCCGGGAGCGAGCAAAGGAGGGCTGCAGGGACCTGGAGGCTGCCTCAACTAGCCCATGCCGCTCCCCTCCCCATCCGAGCCATTCCCCAAGCCATTCCCTGGATGGAGACGTCCAGAAGGGGCGCTTTTTTCTCATTTGTTTATCCAAAAAGGCTATTGTCTTCTAATTCACACAAAAGTGCCCTGGAAGCTAGTGGAACCTCTGGCCAGGCACCTTAGGGTGGGTATTGCACCTTTCAGAGCCCCACTTTCCTCATTCTCACCATGGGGATCATGCCCCCTTTGTCACAAAGCTAGCGCAAAGATCAACCAGACTCTGTGCTGGGCTCAGCATCGGGGAGGCGCTTCAATTATTTGGAGGAGGTTCTGGGAGGAAGTCTTTGGGGACTTTTCCTCTGATGCCCCCTGAGGGCTGCAGTGCCCCCACTCCTCATTTGCCCCCTACGGAATGTCTCCTCCCGCCCCAGCTGATCGGGCTGCTGAAGACCGCTCGGCTGCTGCGGCTGGTGCGCGTGGCGCGGAAGCTGGACCGCTACTCGGAATACGGGGCAGCCGTGCTCTTTCTGCTCATGTGCACCTTCGCGCTCATCGCGCACTGGCTGGCCTGCATCTGGTACGCCATCGGGAACATGGAGCAGCCGAACATGGACTCCCACATCGGCTGGCTCCACAACCTGGGTGACCAGATCGGCAAGCCCTATAACAGCAGTGGCCTGGGCGGCCCCTCCATCAAGGACAAGTACGTCACGGCACTCTACTTCACCTTCAGCAGCCTCACCAGCGTGGGCTTCGGCAACGTCTCCCCCAACACCAACTCGGAGAAGATCTTCTCCATCTGCGTCATGCTCATTGGCTGTGAGTGTGCCCGGGGAGCGGGTGGGGGTCAGTGGGGAGAGCCCCGAATGGAGGAGAAGAGGATGCTGTAGGGGCCAAGTGGGGCCCTGGAACTTAGAGACTCCAGGGCCACCATCATGGCGTGTTTCGGGGCTGGGGCAGGGTAGAGGCACAGGCAGAGCCCAAGGGCGTGCATGCCTGGGCTTCTGTGTTTGTGCTTCTTGTGTGTGTGTTCGCACGGAGACGTGACTGTGGGTCCCTCCGATGTTGACGGCCCCACTCCCGCCCCCTCCCCCCCAGCCCTTATGTACGCCAGCATCTTCGGCAACGTGTCGGCCATCATCCAGCGGCTATACTCGGGCACCGCCCGCTACCACACGCAGATGCTGCGGGTGCGTGAGTTTATCCGCTTCCACCAGATCCCCAACCCACTGCGCCAGCGCCTCGAGGAGTACTTCCAGCACGCCTGGTCCTACACCAATGGCATCGACATGAATGCGGTGAGGCCACCTGGCTTCCCAAAGGCTGGTGGTGGGCTGGAGGAGATGGGGTGGCCGTGGGGACACTTCTTGGTGCAGTGAGCTCATCTCATACTCTGTGGTTCAGGTGGTCACAGTGCTTCGAAGGACCCTGAGAGGTGTGTCACCCTCCTTTGGCCTGTGGAGCTCCTTTACTGGGAGAGCTCTCACTTCAGGCAGGTGGTGACCAGGCCATCATGGTTAATAGTTACAGCAGCCCCTCCAGGAACTAGTCTCCACGCCTTACACATAAGCAATAGGGGCTTAGGGCGGTGAGGCAGCGTCCCCAAGGGTGACAACTAGAAGGAAGGGGTGGAGCCAGAATGGGCACCCAGGTCCTTCTCCCACACAGGGCCCTGATGCTCCTCCTGAGATCTCTGGGTGGGGGTGTGGTGGTGTCGTGCTGAGCCGGCCCTCCCTCAGGTGCTGAAGGGCTTCCCAGAGTGCCTGCAGGCCGACATCTGCTTGCATCTGAACCGCTCGCTGCTGCAGCACTGCAAGCCCTTCCGAGGGGCCACCAAGGGGTGCCTGCGGGCCCTGGCCATGAAATTCAAGACGACACATGCGCCGCCAGGCGACACGTTGGTGCACGCGGGGGACCTGCTCACTGCCCTCTACTTCATCTCCCGGGGCTCCATCGAGATCCTGCGGGGAGACGTCGTGGTGGCCATCCTGGGTATGGTGGGGACTTGGTGCGGGGCTGGAAGTGCCTGCCGAGGCCCGGAGAGAGCCGAACCCTCTGAGTGTATAGACTGCCTGCAGGGACCTTGGGTTCCTTTAATTCACCCAAGCTCAGGCCCTCAAGGACCAGTAGAGAGGAGCCCTACAGGGGGTGGGGCTGCTGAACTCTGGGATTCCCCTGCCTCTGTTTGCCTTCAGGGTCTCCTCATAGGCTGTGATACCCTGACTTCCTTAAAGCAGCACCAAACCCAGATGCTCTGAGTTGGGCAATAGAGGGAGATTAGGCATCTCATTTTACTAAGCTCCTGCAGCCTCATGCTATACAAACAAGCCCAGCCCTCGCTGTCTGCAAAGCAAAGGCAGTCCTGCCCCCTTTCCCCTCCGGCCTCTTCCTTCCCTGTACACCTG